CATTGCAACCCCTCCTCCCTTTTTTTCAGATGCTTGTTCCACAGGCCCCTCCACCCCCCCATCCCTGGACCCCCAGCTGGCTGCAGGATCTGCAGCTAATCTGTCTTCGAACTCCCCTAGAGACAGTCTGTACACGCTCATGCTCCACGTTACATCCCCCCCTCCTCCATGTCCCACCCTGACAGTAAATAGTGGGACTACTTAAGACCCCCTCCTCCCTTTTTTTCAGATGCTTGTTCCACAGGCCCCTCCACCCCCCCATCCCTGGACCCCCAGCTGGCTGCAGGATCTGCAGCTAATCTGTCTTCGAACTCCCCTAGAGACAGTCTGTACACGCTCATGCTCCACGTTACATCCCCCCCTCCTCCATGTCCCACCCTGACAGTAAATAGTGGGACTACTTAAGACCTATTGAGGGTAGGGAAGCCTGGTGGGCCAGTGTTTACTCCACCTTAATTCCACGGCCCATTGGGGATATCAGCTGGTGGCTCCTCCACGGAGCCATGAGCATGGGCGTGTATCTGGCGCAGTTCACCCCTGTTCCCGACACCTGCCCCTTCTGCGGCATGAGGGAAATCCTGGCGCACACACATCTGGAATGCGCCAGGTTGCAGCCCCTTTTCTGGCTCCTCCAGAACCTCTTGTTGAGGTTCTGGCTGCGCTTTTCCCCTCACCTTCTATCTACGCCCACCCCCTCCCTGGCCCCACAAAGTCGCGAGACTTCTGCCTGGCCCTGGCGAAAGCCGCCATATACAATACCAGGAGGAGGATGCTGGACGAGGGGGTGCTCTGTGACGGTGGGGCTTATTTCTGCTCCTCCCTGCATCCAGGCAGAGTTCCTCTGGGCAGCATCCACTGGCTCCATCAACAGCTTTGAGGAGCAGTGGGCGCTGTCCCGGGTTCTCTGCTCAGTGTCCCTATCTGGTTCTCTTGTTTTAAACCTTTGACTCACACCCCTTAACCCCGTTTTTCATTATTTGTCCCCCGCAATTAGTTGAGCCCTGGGTCCAGTCGTCCCTTCCGCAAGGCTCGGGGAGGGGCTTTTAGAAGTGGGTGTGCTAGTGCCCGCCTAGCCCCTAGTGTTCAAATAGTGTTCACTCACTACATGGATATATTGGCTTTTTTCCTTACAAAAATATGGGGTGTGTTCAAATAGTGACTATATTGACTATATACATGGCTATATTGGCTTTTTTCCTTACAAAAATATGGGGGAAGGGCTAATGGACTGAAGTGGGAGGCAGGAGACTAGCACTATCCTGATATCATCTTGCTGTGCCCGTTGTCCCCACCACACTACCTTGTTTGTTCACACAGCCAGCTTTTTTAGGCAGGCACTGTCCCTCCTATTATTTGTACCAATGGGGCCTTAATAGAGGTTGGGGCCTTTTTGGCACTTTCTTAATACAAATACCAGTCACACCAACGTGTATAATAAAAAACATTGTGCTGCAGTGTAGAAGCACTGGTGTAGATGGCAGTTTGGGCAACTGTGGGTGTTCTAACCCCTGCCATCCATCTCTGCTCACAGCAAGTTCATGTGGCACTTGTTAAAGCACCAGGACCTTGACTAGGCTAGCTCCCCTGTGTGGTGCCAGTGGATTTAGTTTTGAGAGGGCTAGTCCTGAGGATGAGTCCAAATCTGTCCTTGGAGCCAGGCTGAGTATTAATCCGACCTCCCTTGGGTCAGGCACAGTGAGGGTGCCCTCATGAGAAACAGGGCCATCCACTGAGAGGCACAATTCAGCTCCCTACAAGAAATGTGACTGATTATAAATCTGCCTGGCAGCAGCCCCAGCTCGGAGCCAATGCTCTCCCTTCCAGGGGCTGCCAGTATTAAATGCTGAGCTGAGAGGGCTTGAAACCCTTGTTTGAAATCCTATTTTTAACCCTTGTGTGGGCTTTCTCCTTCTCTGTCCCCTGCCCTGTTTTGTCCCTGGCCTTGGATTCCGGACGGATTCATTCACGTAGTCCTTCATTCATTCAGCGTGCGTGTGGGGACCCTCCTTCTCCCACGTCAGAGCAGCTGGGGGCTGGTTGAAGAGTCACTGGAGAGCGGAGAGCGCCGGCTGCACGGGGGCGGGGAGCCAGTGAGCAGGGCTGCGAGCCAAGGGGGAACGGCACACGCACTGCGAGCCCCGGGAGAGGGGCAAAGCCAGTCTCAGAGCCTCGCTCCCAGGACCCGCAGAGGAGAGGAGGAGGGAGAGGCCGGCAGCTGGGGGGATTAACGTGGTAGGACTCAATGAGGGAAGGCAGGAGCACTTGGCGCAAGGCAGAGAGCCAGGGGAAATTGATAATGGGACGAAGGGAACTGTAAAGACCAGGCTCCTAAAGGAGGGAGCTGCAAAGGACAAGTCCCTGCCAAGGACAAGCACAAGGAGCGTCTGCCGCTAGCTCAGTGTCTGGGAGGCCAAACCTCCCGGGAGGGGAAAACTTTGCAAAGCAGCGAAGATCAAAGAGTTTGCAGAACAAAGCCCAGGGCATCCTCATTTGCAAAGCCCAGGGCGGGGGGCAGCGAGCCTGGCCCGCCCCACCATGAGAGGCAAGCGAGAGCCCTGCCAGGGACCAGAGGGGAGAGGTTTGCAGCCACAGCAGCAACCGCAGCAGCAGAGGTAGCCTGGGACATGCAGCATCCGGGAGCAGAGAGGCGACTGGCTGAGCTCAAGAGGTGGAAACATTTGGAGGGAAACAGAGGAAAGTTTTGTATTGTCAGCAGCTGCCTCCAGTTTGGGGCTGGGGGAGCAGCAGCCGCAGCGTGAGCCGGAGCGCGTGGAGCCGTCTGATGCTGTGCCACTTTGATCCACCAGGAGGGACTTGATTTGTCCTGATGCAAAGGGAGCGTTTTCCCGGCTAAAGAGAAAAAAGGGGGTGATCTGCCTGGGAACAAACGGTCTCTGGAACGGCCTAAGGGAAATCACCAGGACAAGCGACTCACGGGGTGGGGCAAGAGGCAGGCAGAGAAGAAGAGGAAAAGAAATCAGATTGCAAAAAAGGATAAGAAAAGGGAGTGGGGGAGGCGAAGCCCTCTCCCTTGCTTCTTCCTTTCTTGCCTCCTGCCAATCTTTTCAGAGTTACCCTTCAGCATCACTGGCCCAGGCACCGGCGCCCAGGAAGGGCAGCTCAAGCCAAACGTGATCAGCGAACAGCAAGAGAGATCAGAGATTCACCCCCCTCCCCAGCCCCGGGGACTCCCCGGGAAGCCAGGGCACTGGGACTGTCAGCCTGTCAGTAATCTTTCTCCCTCACTCCCAGTGGCTCCCAGCCTTTGCAGGGACACAGCAATCCAGGAGCAGAAGGCTGGAAAGAGGATTGCAGTTTTCATCTGCACGTTTTGATCCTCCCTCTCCTACTTCAGGGACTGATTTTGTAATATTAGCAGGCTGGATTAGCGGGAGGGGGCTGCCTGCTTTGTATGCGTGTGCAGAGGTGAGCCGGGGGGAGGGCGGAGGAAGAGATGTCTGGGATCAGAGGGAAAGTTGTGCTTATCCTAGGCTTCGTTTTTCTGACAACTCTTCTGGCAGTGGTGAGAGGGCTCCCCGTAAGGAAACAACGCACCAACAGCTCCAAGGAGAGAAATCACAAGCTGGTGGAGGTAAGGCAAGCCTAGCTGTACTCCCTGGTCTGTCTGGGAGCAGAGCTACTTCTTACTCTGGATGATGTTGGGCTGGGCCTGGAAGTGGGAGAACTGACCAGGGGTGAAACCTGAGGGGTATTCAGATGAATTGCCCCATGAAAATCAACATGGCACATGTGGGGTGGAAGCTCCGAGCCCCTGGAGACATTTTAAAAGCAGACTGCACAGAGCTCTAGAAAATCAAGTGTTTGCGCGGAGCAGCCAGATGAGCCATTTTGTTCTAGGGGTGTCTGATTCTTTTTAACCAGCTGTAGCTGGGCTTTTGAAGTCACAGTATGTGGCAATGCTCTGTTGCCACCCCAAGATGTAAAATTGCTTGAAATCTCTCTCAGCCTTCTGAGAGATGGGAGCAGGCAATGTGATTTCAGATGCCTGAAGACTCAGGCTGAGTTTAATAATTCAGTGTGCAGGAAGGTCTGTTGCCTCCAGAGGACAATATCTGTCACAATATGAGTCACAGTATAGCCTAACCCATGGCACGGTTTGCAACTTGTCAGGAGCACAAATGCTTCACCACATTGGCATTAAATGCAGCCGCTTGCAGCCACTTTGCCCCTGGAGGTGGAGACCATGGTGGTTATGGGTTCCAGAATGTGTCTCACTTTCTTAATCCAAACAGCCCATGACTGGATAGGCTGGAGCAAGACGGGCTGGCATCCGTATGTCTATATGCTGCACCTCTCGGTCAGGGTAGACGTTAGTGTTGTTTTGTGGGTTCAACTCCATTCACAGAAATCAGGCCCAGATTAACCTGTGCACAATGATTTCTGTGGGCTCAACGGCCTGCCGTGCAGGTTTAGCCCAGCTGCCCCTCCATCATGACAGGGGGCACCCAGACAGGCTAAATTTGAGTGACCTGGCACACAGGTTTACAGCCCCACTCAGGTTTGACACCTGCCATCAATAGTGTGGGGAGCAACTTGCCCAGCCTGACTGGACTCAGATCCCTCCTGTTGCTACTGCTGGCATCACACCAGGCTGAGGTGACCTGCCAGGAAGAGCCCAGAAGGAAGGACAAGGTTGTGGATACTCCTCCCACTGGCATCAGAGATGGAACTCAAAGAAAAGTGGGGACCGACTGTGACACCCCCAGTCTCAGGCAGAGCAGAATTGCCCAACCCCTGCAGAGAGAGTAGTAAACTCATGGGTCTGATCCCTTTCTGACACCCCCATACCCTCCCTCTACTGCACTCATTGAATTGGAAGGCTACATCCACCACTGCTCTCTGTAAAAGGTGGGGGTAGCCAGAGACTGTATTGTATTCCAGGGGCTGCATTTGCTTGTTCTTGTGCAGGAACTCATTGGCCAGAACTGTGTGTTGTCTTCCAAAGGATTTTGAACAGCTAAGCTAATGGAAGGACACTTGGACTCTGCCCCCAGGGCTTCCAGACAGCAATCACTATTGGGCTTATAGGATATGGGATCAAAATGCATGGAAATCCAAACCCACTGTGTGTTTTGAGTGGGGGAGAGATTAGCAGAGTGGGAGTAAATCTGTAGCAGTCCTAGCCATACGTGCTGGAACTGGGAGTTCTGGGGTTATCTGCTGCACCCCAGCTTGAAAAGGATTCCATTATAAACAGGGTTTATGGTTTGGTTCAATAGCTCACAGAACCTCCCCCCCCCATGCAAATTGTTCCAGCACCCCTGATCTGACAGAGAAAAAAGGCCCTTTAACAAACAAGGAGGGGAAACAAAACCACAGTGACTTCCATATGGCCAAACCAAACAACTGCCTTTTAAATTGTTCTCTCA